GTTACTCGTAAGCAGAATCTTGAGCCCTTTACATCATCACAGGTGTCCGATCAAGGACCCACGAACCCCGAGAACCCCAAGGCCCTGTAGGCCAACCCGAGGAAAAAAACCAAAGGTATGCGTACACGTTCCAATGTCCTCACTAGAATCCCCTGCTGCTCCCTACAACCCACAACATCCACGCTCCCTGCGCCTCTCCCTCACCTTTCCTCCCCCCCCACGCCATTCACTCCCCCACTTTCTCCTTACCTCCCCCACCCTCCACGCCCCTCCCTTCTGCACTCCCCTCCCAATCTACCGACCTCGCATACAGACCACCGTCACACAAGCCGCACCAAGCGTCACCACCTTTTGCCTGTCTCCCCAATAGTAGCATCCCCAGCATTAGCACAATTGCTTGTGCAATATTGACAACCCAGGTGCTAAAGGGAGGGGGGCGGATGGTATTGAAAAAAGCTGCAGCACGGACGGGACCCAAGAGTTGTGTTTTGAGAGAAATGTGGCTTAATGATAGGAATGTCAAGGATAACGTTTGCTGGATGTGCAGTCACATATGTGTATAGGTACGGTACTCTAGATAGGGAGATGGTGGAGAACAGGAGGTTGGAAATGGGAAGCGAGATGCAGGTACCGGTACGAGGATCAGTATGTGTGGTACCATACGGTAGGTAGGTACTAGGTAAGGCTGCGCGCGTTATGCACGCGTTCACGTAACGGACGCCCTAGCTCTACAACACTATGATTGCAATATCTTGTACACCTACTAGGGGGTTTCTACTGTAGATTATAAATTCCACCGTCCACTAGTAGAGCTACAATGGTGCAGGGTATCCAAAACCCCCTTCAAACGGAATGTGATGGAAGACGACGTTTTCTACTCGAATCACACTTTTTCCCAACGACCGGGCCCAACCATTCGGCCAAGATACAGTAAAGCCCTACCTTTTCATCGCCCCCTTCGCATATCCCCTCATCTCCCAAGCGCTGCCCAGACGGGCGCAAAGATGCTTGAGGGCGACAAGCTATGGGGCTTTGGCCGGCCGGTGTGGCGTTTTGGGGGGTTTTTTTTGGCGCTGGGGTGGGTGCTGTGCGAGTGGTGTGGTGGGCATGTATGGTGTACAATGGCGGCAAAGAGGAGCGATGTTTGGTATAAACGTACCATGGATGATAAGGAGGAGGGGAGGGAGGGGTGTGATGCAAGCTTTAGGGGACATGGAGTGGTACAGTACTATAGCGACAAGACTGGCTCAAGTGATGATTCAGTGCTGAATAAAGCCAAGGGTATGGCACTTCCAATGGCCATGGCAATCCCAATCAGACTGGTAGTCGCAGCCACAGTGCTGCAATACAGCACAGTACATCATAGTTACAATGTACCAGTTTGGGTACTGAACACCAACACCACGGACAGCACAGCATCAGCATCAGCAACAGCAGCTGCATAGTCTAGTCTAGTGACTCTAGTCCAGTCTAGTCCAGTCTAATCCAGTGAGTAGCGTGATTGCCCTAGGAAATCATAAGCGTCATCGTCATTGGCATTGTCATAATGGCATTGGAAAAGGGTTTCAAACAAAAAGGAATCCATGTCTTGTATGGAGCTCGAACGCTGCATGCCGAATGTACATCATCTTCTCTTCTCTATCCAATTATCAAAACTACCCGGCCACCATGCAACAAAAGTCGCAAGACCATGCCATGTCGTGCACAAACCAAGCTTGGCCACCACAGTCCCTTGACCCGATCCAAAGGACGAGGGGGAGATGCAGTGCAGCACGACCACCACCAACACAACACATCCAAGCCATCCCGTCCCTACAAATGACGCAAACCATTCCCGGGCGCATGCATCCACAACAAAGCAAGAATGCCAAATCGGCTCAAATCGGCTCAAATCGTAACCATTTCCACCGGTTGTCTAAAAGAAAAACCCCGCAAACCCCCATAGTCCAAAGGAGCAGCAAGAAACCTCAAAACGATCCGTCCATGCCGCTGGCCAATTTGAGATTCCATTTCTTTTTTAAACCAACCATTAAAAAAAAAAGGGCCGGACTCGATCCGCCGAGAACCGGTGCGGCGGACCAGACGGTAAACGACCAACAACACCAACTCGCCCCTTTTCACTCAACAGAGCAGCGCCCGAGAAATTATATAACTGGCGAGAGTTTGTAGGTGTCGTGTGCGACAGAGTACCATGGACAAGGGGAAACGGAGCGGATTAAAAAAAAACGTTTGCGACGTCATTCTTGTGTGCTTGGCTGCTAAGATACTCGAAGCGCTGGATTTTGAGAGAGGGAGAGAGATGTGGAGAACCGCGCAGGGCAGGTGGGGGAAAGGTTGGGAGTAAGGAGGAGAGAATTGTATATATGCCCAGCGATGCGACGCAAGTGAAGCAACTCTCAAAAGTCCCGCGAACGAGCCAGAACGTCTTGGGAAACGCAGCAGAAAATAAGGTATAAACAAGAAGCGTAGTATGATGTGCGTGCACTAAAAAGTGTAGTATAAAAAAGCCGTAAAGTGGTAAAATATGCAGGTACAGCAAAAAGGGGGGGCCTAACAGTGGGGGGTATCTGCCGCAATAGTAGGCGTCGTATCCGGGAATACGGGATGCATAAGTGTGGCGTGCGCGGATAATGGCCATAAAAGGTAATGGTAAAAGTTGCGGCGAATCAAATCGCGCGAAGGGAGAAAACGCCGTTCATACGCTCGTAAATGTGCCCGTGGGTGTTGATCAAGGACAGGTTCAGTCGGTGACGGTGCGATGGCGGGAGAACACGGGAAGGAGGTGGTAGTGTGTGTGCGTGGTGGGTTGTAAAGAATCTTATTATGTAGTATTGATCCGGCACTACTATGTCAGCGCCCAACTGAGGAGAGTGACGAGTAATGGGACTGCTATTGACACTGTGGGCGCACCCAAGACAGGCGCGGCGTTGCCAAAGACGGTCTGACCAGGCGTCATGTTCTCCTCGCGCGAGAAAAAGTACGACTTGGCGGCCTCGGGGCCCAGCGATGGGTCGGGAGGCGTGGTTTGGGCAGGAATGGCGCAGACCTTGGCCGGATCGTACGTGGGACATCGCTCCCGGTAGTCGTTTTGCGAGCGCTCCGTGTCGGTCGAGTTGAAGTAGAACTTGGTGTAGGCGACCGTCATGACGGTGTCGCTGTCGGGCGGGCCTGCAGACCACAATGGGTCGCCGTTGCTCCAGTGGTTCATGAAGATGCCGCCGCCCTCGGTGGGCACGTTCTCGGTGACCTCGTACAAGAAGGCGCCGTCGACGTAGAAGGCAACGCGTCCAGGGGTCCAGTCGAAGCGGTACTCGTGGAACATTTGATCGGGGCGGAAGGGGAGGGGTTGGACCTTGAACTCGGCGGTGCCAGACGCATCGTAGCCATGGGCGACGGATTCTGGCGTCTGGAGGACGAGGTTGACAGCGCCCTGGGAGCCGTTGAACTGGTGAGACAGGAATTCCATGTCGATTTCTTGCGAGTTGTTGTGGTACTGTGTGCATGGTTAGTGGGAGTGTGCTGGCTGTGCGCCCGGATGGCCATTTTTTTTTGCTTTGCTTTGCTGTTTCTCAAGAGGGTGGACGACGTACGAAGAAGAAGGCACCACAAGTGCCAGACGAGTTGGACAGCTTCATGCCAATACGGAAGGAACCATGCAGGGCATCGGTCCGTTGGCTGACCATCTCCGCGCCGCTCACGAAGCCATTGGAATTGTTACCGCGCACCCACAGCTCCAGACCGGCGTCGCCCCCATGATCCGCATCGCCAGCCCAGACGTCCGACTTGGTGAAGGGGTTTGCGACGACGTTGTGCAGTTCCATGTTCTTGCCAAAGGGGCCGCGTGCGTTGACGGCCGAGACATTGTAGACCTGGGGCTGCCAGCCGACCTCGCGGAAGTTGTCCGTGTCGACGTGCAAGAAGTCGTTTTCTTGCAGCTCGGTGAAGACGGCGTGATCGGCGTCGGTGGTGGTGTTGAGCGAGTATCCGCACTCGCAGGCCGCATTGGCTGTTTGGCGGGCGCATACAGTCAGCATGCAACGGACAGAGATCATCCGCAAGTCACATCGGCAACGAGAGCACGAATACAAGAGTAAGCAGCGCAACCAGGTCACGTACCGAGGCGGGAGACGGCAAGCAGTAGCAGGGCGGGCAGTGCGCCCGTTGTGCGGTGAAACATGGTCTTATTGTTGTGATTCGTGGTGGTCAGAGGGAAAGACTGTGGTTAAGCAAGAAGTGGTAGGCCAAAGGCTTGCAGGCACAAAGGGCGGGGGGACAAGAAAAGAAAAAAGAGCGTCGGTGTCGCGAGCCGGGGGGGGGGGGGAGGGGGGGGAGTAAGAATCCAAAAGAGCGTGGTGAGGCCTTGGGAGTACAAGTACAAAAGGACGAGGGAAAGAAAAAGAGAGAGAGAGAGAGAGAGAGTGTGTGTGTGTGTGTGTGGCAGAGGCAGACATGGTGACTGACCACTGACTTGCCGGGGGGAGGGGGGAAGGCAGACGAGCAGAGCCGGGGCAAGAGGCCCAAAGCAGCAATTGCGGCCCCTTTGGAACCACTCAGGCGAACCCCAGCCATCCCGCCGTTTTTGCCTGCCAGACAAGGGGTCAACGCGCGCCGAAATCACTTGTACGAGGGTGTTTATGTGGGCTTCTCTGGGGAGGGGGGGGGGGGTTTTTCTTGGTCAAGAGCCGGACTAGCGAACTGGGCGTGCACTGGCTGGCGCAAGGAGACCATGGGACGATGAAAATGGACGACCATGTTGCTGCGTGCACCTGAGCATCGAGTCTAGTGTGTGTGTATTTGTATTTGTATTTGTATTTGTATTTGTGTGGGTGTGAGTGTGGGTGTGAGTGTGGGTGTGCTGGTGACGGAATGATCAACCCCCCGGGGAGCAGGTCCCCCTTGTCTGCCATGTACTATGTAGGACTCGGTCGTGTAGCCCAGATGATACATGCTACTAGTAGAGTACAATACCTACATGTACACACTACAGAGTGCATTGTGGTCGTTGGCGCAGCCGGGCGGGTGCATGTGGCCGCGACAACCTAACCGTCCAACATGGCAGCCGACATGCAAGACCAAGACAATGCACTGCCAGCAGCGAAACAGGAATGCGCACCAAAGAGAGCCGAGTACAACGAAGAGAGTGGAGTACCAAAGCAACGAGAGCCGGGTAAAGCAAAGCAAAGCAAAGCAAAGCAAAGCAAAGCACACGACCACATCGCATGACACAGTATGTACATGACACGAAATAAAGTCCGATCAAGGGCCCCCTACTCTACCTATACAGATCATGTACGATCCCACGTCTCCCTGCGCACCCGCCTCATCCGTCCGCGCCTGTTTTCTGGGGAAAAAAGAGGGCACAAGACACAAAAGGCACAAGGTGAAATGAGAACACGTCTTGGATGAGAACACGTCTTGGTTGGGGACAGGAAGACGAAGATCCCTCGTCCCTCGTCCTACTTTGGGTCACGAGGGCTGGAGTACCGGTACTTGCTTACAGACACCTAGATGTTGTGTAGTGTCAGTGACAGCCCTGTCTCTCCCTCTCCCCCACCAAGTCAGTCCAAGTCACTTGTCATTGCATACTCCGTCCTTCCAAGCTTTCCCCTCTCGTCTGTCTATTTTGCCAGAGTGGTGCAGGTGGGATCTGGTTTGGTCGCTTGGCGTGGTTGATATTTCGACACAAGACGGTACGACATGGTACCTACACAAGTCCACTGCTAGCTACCATAGGTACATACACTACACACACGCTCCCTCTCTCTCTCTCTCTCTCTAGCACCTACCATTACGAGTCCTGATCAACAAAACACGCACCAAGTCTGCAAAAAAACTACTTTTCGGCCTAGCCACTGCGCCTCTGCCGCTCACTAACCAACCCGTCTGCTGCGAACTGCCTCGAACCGAATCAGTCATCACCCCTCATGTCTCCATCTCTCCTGTTGGCACCTCATCTGCCATGGGTTGTCTGACATGGTATCCCACCAACAACAACACCATCATCATCATCTCATCATCTCATCACCCAGCCAAAGAAAAGCCCCCCGCCCCTTTCCCCAGTTCACAAGACCCTACACATGTAAATCACCCAACCAATCCCCATCCACCCTTTGTCCCTCTCGCCTTGTCACTTCGCTTTGCCTCGCTTCGCCCCTCAACCAACCACATGAAACTCCACGCGCGCATTGCTTCGTGTGTCCAAATTGCCCGCCACCCCCCTCCCATGCATGAGCTGAGCCGACGAATAAAAGATCCGCATTGGCCTCGAACGAAATCAAAGTCGGTCTCTACTGTGGTCAGTGGTTGTCCATCGGGCCTGAACCGATCACGCGAGCACCGCGCACCCTTTTTCCAATGATGACATGGTATACACGGCACGATACCAACTATAGTGTAATAATAGATATAGTATACACCGTAGTATCCATCAGATCCCATCCCATCCAGAACCATACTCACATTCACCCATCCACACTTGAACCACCCCAGAAGCCCAAACCACTACCCAACCCTGCAACACCTCGCCTTCCCCAACGAACCGCCCATCGCAATCCCACTTCCCACTCGACACGACATGACCGACGCACGCCCACACTACTCTACCTACCCAAAAAACCCCGCCAAGCCCAAACCCCAACCAGCCTAGCCCAGCCTAGGTACATACACACACAGTCTTAACCACAAGCCCATGCTCAAGGTGCCGCATTCCATTAGTATTATTTTTATTATTCTTATTCTTATTATTCTTATTTAGGCCATTTTGCAGTCTTCGCACCTTGATACGACACGGAAATGGGAATGGGGTTCGCGCGCATTGGGACGCTTGCAATCTAAAAGACACGAGGAAAGGTGGGGGGGGGGGGGGGGGGCAGGGAAAGTTTGTTGGACGATATAAGCCAAATTATCCAGGGATAGGGAGAGGAGGGAGGAGGAGTACCTAGGCCGTTGCCACCATTCAT